TATGTCAAAAACGGAGTTTTCATTAGCTGTAGCTTCCAGAGTGTATGACAGCTTCCTGTTTTGTCTCCTTGGATACGAGTCCAAACAACTCACAGACTGCACCGGGCGCTCACGTAGGAGCCCTGTGACCATCATATTTGACGATGCTGATTGGCTGAAATTATGTTTTCGCGGCATAGTTTACACGTTACAGATAGCAACAGTCAGCTGCTAGTGGCTGCTGCTGCACTGGTTGAGGGCTCCTCTCTTAGCGCCCAGACGAGAGAAGGTACACGGGCAAGGCCAGGCAGGAAACATGTGACTTATCAGTAACTTTAGACATCGTAACACAATTTTAAACGAGATTTTATTGTAGATTATACATTTTACTGATACCAATTATATAATATTTACCTTGTTCATTAAAAATAAAAATAAAAAAAAATATTTCTTTTTAAAGCTCCCATGTCATGCTTTTCCGGTTATTACCCGTCCCCTTGTGTGTTATGAAGGTTTTTATGCATGTAAACGGTGTGCAGAGTCAAAACCCTCAAAGTACACCCTGTAGCGAGTAAAACTCTAACACAGAAAATACCTCCCCAAAACGCCTCGTTGGAGATACGTCACTGCCCATTTGAGTCTTCCATTTAGTTCCGGGTACCGCCTGATGTCATGCGGTACCCGGAACGAAATGGACCAATCCCGAAGAGCTATGGCCACACCAGCAGCGGCGTGTTCCTCCTCCAGAGGTTCGAAGAACCGGCATTTCACAGACGAAAGCTTCCAAAACATTGCCCAGTTTGAGGCCGGATATGCACAGCTTGTTTGGACCGTTTGGAGCAGGGGAAGATCTGGGTATACAACCTGTAAGTTTGCATTGTTATTTGTGTATTTATCAAACAAGACTGTTTAAATGTGTAAACTGTGTTGGACTGCTAAGCCATTGACACAGTGCTAACTGTGCTAACTAAGTTGCTAGAGTTTCCATATATCAACTCTAATATCAGCAGATGGCCTTGCATACATGTATCTCATAGCAGGAGAATGTCTGCAGTCACACACACGGAATACTCATACAGTATACTGTACTGTGATTTACCGTACATTGTGACCGTACATATACTGCATGTAGCTAACGAGGCTAGCTGTATGCTAGCGCAAAACAATGTATTCATGCAAGTTACATTGTATGGTAGCAGAATACCCGTATACGATTGCAATTATAAACACGTTATTGCTAGCCTAATATGAACCACTAGCTTTTGTTCATAGTAGTTTTATTACACTGCATTATAGTTGCCTTTCCTCCAAGCTAACGTTCATATCGTGTTAGCTACCAAGGTAAACAAAGCTAGGTTAGCATATTAGCAGGCAAGCTGTTCATTACACAACTACTACTAACGAATCTAAAACAACTAAGTTTCTCTAATATTTTGTGATTTGCATTTGATTTCGTCCAGCCAGATCCTGGCGGACAATCCATGACGTGCTAAAAGGCACTTCTACTACTACTGAGGCGTCGTGCTAAAAGGCACCGCACCGACTGTGCGCAGGCAAGATGCAAGGAGGAGGAATGGATGATATACCGTGTATATATGTATATTTATGTTCATTTTGTACATTTCTAAAAATAAAGTTTAATGGAAATACTTAGTAGGCCTATCCTTTCTTCCCTGAATTCATATATAGCAAACCATGATTTGATTTATCATCAAACAGTAGTAGTTTATAACGGGTAAAAATAACTTACTCTTTGTTATGAGCGGCTCGTAGGCCACAAAGACAAGGAGACATACACGAGTTTACAAAACCACGGCACATTTATTGTGGTAAATGCAGATAGGTGGTTGAGAGGATCGCAGAGTTAGTCTTCCTGCAGCCGCTTTGGAGAGAGACTGGGGCCGTAGTGTCCGGAGGTGTCCGTGATCGTGCTGATTAGCCTCTTCAGCTCCACCCCATCGTAAGACAAAGGCCCTGGGGCCGTCACACTCTTCTATAACAACAGTTAAAAATATATATGTATATAAAATATACGGCTGTGCCGACGCCATGATAAGACTGATGTTACGCTGAGAGCAGCCGGGAAAAGCACTGTTAGACATGGGCGCAGCCTCTCTGGTGGTTGACTAATCAGAACGAGTGGCCGAGCTGACCAATCGGAGCACACTAGGCTCACAGGGAGGGGGGGGCAAGAGCTCCAACGAGTCGTTTAGTGGAGAAAGTGAATACTGCTGAATACACATGCTTGACAGAGATGCTGTATGCGAAACCAATGTGAGTTTGGAAAATTGCACAGTATAAATCTATTTTAGTATACCTCAACAATGTAATTATGATCAGTGGAAATGGCCATGACATGGGCCCTTTAAATATATTTTTTATTTTTATTTTTATTTTTTAATATGGGAAGAGGTGGGGCGGCGCCCCTAGCGCCCCTATGGACCGGCCGCCACTGGTTGCTACTGTAATTCTACGCAGAGACGGTAGACGTAACAACAAACTAGACTTTTGAAACTACAGGAAGATAAGGAGGACTTTTACAAAAAAGTAATAGAGATTGTTGTCCAGAAGGAGAGCATGGACTTCATCTTCAAGTCAAGGTAAGACCACATTTGTTACTTACTAAGAAAGAACAATCCAATATTTAGATTTTGGGTATCCTTTTGTTGAACGGTCTGTTTAAAATGAATCGAAGCATCAGACTAAAAAAGCTTTTGAAAATAACCTAATATTTCGATTAAGGTCAAAATATAATATTTGTAAATCTGATTCAGTGCCTCACCAGCCATGAACCTCACCGCACGTCACTGATACATACAGTATGGTGGCTTGAACTAGTGGGAGAAATGGCACTGTTTGTCTGTCGTCAATGCTTTGAACCTCGGCAAAAAAGGCATTAGAAGCATTAGAAAGTCAAGGTAAATTTGCGGTTAACTTGCGGTCTGCTATGCGTGTCACGCTCGCACACACAAGTAAATATATATGCACGTTCATTCTCACAACGCATCAGACACAAGACGCGCGTACACAATGATGTACATTAATTTATCAGAATCAGATTTTTTTTTTTTTTTTTTTTTTTAATAATTTTTTTATTTTTATAATGGGACACAGGGTTCGGTCCGGATTGATTTGCAGTTCGGTCCGGATCCGGACCTTGGTCCGGAGTTTGAGAAGCCCTGATATATAGCATATATATATATATATATACACACACACAAACTAATTTTGCAGACCCTATCCCTCCGTAGTCTTTCAAGTAGGAGGAGAAATGTCAGCGTTCTCCTCCGGTTTACAGGCACTGTGTAAATTATATAGAATAATTATGATGATGAATGCATTTTTTTACCACTAAAATACAGCAACACATCTTTGATTCATGTCGTTTATAACTGGAATATTACAGTTATTATTAACTTTGTCTGTACAAAGTAGCCTGTCCAGGAAATATGCCCAAATCAACAAAAACTGCGAGCCGGCAGGCAAGACACTCCGCTTCTGAAATGCTTCTGAAACGCGCCTGGTAGGGTATGACGCCGGAGGAGGCCGGACCAAAACCGCGGCGCAGCCGTAACGCGGCGCAGACGGACCCGGTGGAATCTAGGGGTGAGCCTGTTTTTCAGGTCTCAGGCTCGAAAATGACATTCCCAGAACAAATGACCATATCTTCCCTTCTAAAAGGGTTAAATTAATAATCTTTTTTCTCAAAGTAATGATAAACCTGTGAGTTGGATGTAGAAAAGTCAGAATCAATATGGCTGTTTTTTATTTTAAAGAAAATTCAGATTTTACATATAACTGTAAATTATAGTGTCCGTCCAAAAATAATTTTTTACTTACTGTATAGTGAAAAAACTACCCTTGGATGATGGGTTAGTAGACTAAAAGCTATAGGAATCCAAAGTACAACATATAATAAGTACCCTGTATCAAGATTGATGCAAAACAAGTGACATTTGACCTTTTTAGAGAGATTTAGCAAAAAGAAACCACTTCTGGGGTCATTTGGGTGGATTTTCCATATCTCTGGCCCCCCTTGCTCAATTTTGATGGTTGACACCTCTTTCTGACCGTTAGAGCCAATAGAATCAAAGGGGGAGTCCCCCACACACACTCATTGTGAAGAGAAAAGGTGAGGGCTTCGCGCATGTAATTTGAGTGAACCTATCTCTAGCTTTGACATCTGGAAACGGAAAAGCAGTTTTAATGCTTATGGATTATCAGAAATCATGTCAAAGGGACACAAACACATTGGATTAACCTATGGATTAACTTCAGCAGCGTTTTTATCGTTTTAATGCCATTGAAGACCACTTTGGAGAGACTACAGAGCCAAGGTAAAAATGTTAGCATTTTTAGCTACCTAGCGTCACAGTTTTTGCTTATAACGTCGCCATTTCGTATAATTCAGTGATAATGTGGGTGTCCAACAATTCTGTGTCACCTCACGATGTGAAACGATGTCATGGATGTAGAGAAGAGATAAATAATAAGGTTTTGTGAGTGATTTTCGGTGCAGTAAGGTGTTAGCATTTTTCGCTCGTTGCTAATTCAGAGGCTCAGTGTTAGCATTGTGGGTTTTATTTTGAAAAATAAATAAAAATGATCAGTAAGATGAGTTTCACAAATTCACAGAGGGCCCGCTATAGTAACTGAACGACAGAGTAATGTCAAATGACAGTACAATTGACCAATCATATCTTCCCTCTAAATGGGTGGGTTTTATTATCGCGGACTTTATGACAAGTTCCGCCCGCTGTGAAGCTTTTCTTGTTTCCATAGCAACAACAACTTCATGTCAACAGCATAAACCCGCCTTCAAAATAAAAGCATGCCAAATTACACTTAAGACATACAACTGCAACGAAAGTAACAAACACAATGCAATATCATTTTCAATGTCAAAGAACACAAATTGGGTTATTTACAGGTGTTGTTTTGTGTGGTAGAGTGGCTGTTGATTTGATATTCTGCTGAAGTATACGCTGTGACGTAATACCTCTTTTATTTATTTTTCTTCGAGGGAAGGGGTGGGGGCAGGGCCGGCCCTTGACACTGGCGAACTAGGCGGTCGCCAGATCTGGAGGGGCGCTGCGCTGGGAGAAATAAATAAATAATAATAAAAATATGAATTTTCTTTTTTTTTTTTAATATGTATTCTGCCTCATTTTTTGCCCTTGATATAATACATTTACATTAATAATTGAATAAAGTAAACACCCTTTGCACCCCGGGCCGGGCAGCAACATTTTGCATTTGCCCTGTACGATGGGCGCTGTAAGTGATGAAAGTGGGGGATGTTGACTTATCAGGCGCCCGCAGCTCACAGCCAAAGGGCGAGCGAGCCTCCGAGCGAGCAAGAGAGAGAGAGAGAGAGAGAGGGCGCACATCGGTACCGCGGATTGTTGTTGGATTGAGGCTGATAACTACAGCTCAGTGAGGTAAAGGACTCTGAGTGTTTGAGATAGTTCACTTTAGTCTAAGTCAGGGGTCTCCAACCTTTTAGGGTGAGAGCTACTTTCAAAAAATAAAACAAGACGTGAGCTACTTTTACTCCTCTTTTTATTGTTTTTTGCAGTGTATATATTTAGCACATTTTAACATGATGATATGCTGACCTTTAACCTTTGTGTGCTGTTTGGGTCTGTGGGACCCGTTTGCAGTGTTTACTAAAAGAACATATATTCAATTTAATTATTTTAACTGCTTTATTTGGGGGTGGACCTCACATCCTCTAGGGGGGACCTCACCTCCTCTAGGGGGGTCCTCACCTCCTCTAGGGGGGGTCGGGGGGCATGCACCTCCGGGAAGATGTTTTTTTAAATGTTGAAGGGAAATGCATCAATCTGGAGCACTTTGAGCACAACATGAATTGATGGAAACAGCTCTCAACACTCAGATGAAAGGGAGCTGTATACTTTTCAATAATCCAAACATCTTTAGAATATGATCACAACCAATAACAAATCATTTAAACTTGTTTATTCTTATCTTATGTTTCCTAGTTAGCATTATTTCTTTCTATTTATGCATATTTTACTAATCACTCCCCTTTTAAATACAATATAGTAATGATTTCTTACTTTATTTGTTACAACTATATTAAATAGATAAAGGTGTGCTCTCTCTCTCTGTCTCTCTCTCTCTCTCTCTCTCTCTCTCTCTCTCTCTCTCTCTCTCTCTCTCTCTCTCTCTCTCTCTCTCTTCTCTCTCTGTCTCTATCTCTCTTGTCCTCTCTCTCTCTGTCTCTCTCTCTCTCTCTCTCTCGTCTTTCTCTCTCGTCTCTCTCTCTCTGTCCTCTCTCTCGTCTGTATCTCTCTCTCTGTATCTCTCTCTCTATCTCTTCTCTTGTCTCTCTCTCTCTGTCTCTCTCTCTCTCTCTCTCTCTCTCTGTCTCTCTCTCTCTGTCTCTCTCTCTCTCTCCCTCTGTCTCGCTCGCTCACAGAGACTGTGTGCTCGTGGCGATGACGGCTTGCGTTAAAATAAATAAATAAATATATTTGTAAAGTGGGGGGGACTGTCCCCAGTGGAAATTACGCCATGCGTGTGTGTGCGTCAAGTGCAATAAATATGCAAGTTGCAACACACACACAGTAAAACTCTGCCCCTCATGTGCTGCATAGGCTGGCATGACTAGGCTGTTCAATGGGGCTGATGTGTTGTGTAGATTCTGCCAGAAGGAAAGGTTAAACTCCTCATGAAGCGGTGAGCTGCCGCTCCACATTGCTTTTCTTCCAGACTGCAACGCTGGTCCCGCAAATCAAGCAAGAACGTGATTGGTCGATATTCATTGTGGGGGGTGGGGGGAGGAGGGGTGTTAGATAGATACATTTTGGATTTGCTTGGCGAGCTACTTATTGAGGGCTTGCGAGCTACCGGTAGCTCGCGATAGACGTGTTGGAGACCCCTGGTCTAAGTTATCTCAGTGGGTCTCAAACGGTCACAATTTATGTAAACAAATATTTCCAAGGCACACCTTTATAATTATTAGGATAAATAAAAACAGGTTTGAAATCAGTCCAATGTATACTCTAGGACAGTAAACCAAAAATATCATTTAAAACTGGAGATATTTAAAAATATGCATGAATAAATCAATTTTAACTGGTAAAATAAGATATGAATGAACAAAAAAAATAAAATACGTCAAATGTATTTGTTATTAGCTATGGTAGGTTATTGGTTATGTTCACATACTTATTTGATTATTAAAATGTAAACCGATCTTTTTCATATGGGTGTTTTAGAGTTGTACCCCCGAGATCTAGTCTCTAGTAATTCTGCTCAAAGTGCTCCAGATTGAAGCATTTTACTTTAAAATGTTAAAAAACATCTTCCCGGGGGGGCATACCCCCGGACCCCCCTAGAGGATGTGACCCCCCAATTAAAACATGTTCATACAATAATGAATACATTTGAAACCTTCTTTCCAACATGTCAATACGTTTCAGTTTTTGTAGTGTATTGGTCTTTTGTAGAGATTCTTCATTTATTCTTTATATATTCCCTTAGAGGGGGGGGGGGCACCAAATCATAATCTCGCCTAGGGCACCAAAATGTCTAGAGCCGGCCCTGGGTGGGGGTCAGAGGGCCTAGGTATAAAAGTCACGGCTCGCCACTGTGATTGTGTGTGTGTGTGTGTGTGTGTGTGTGTGTGTGTGTGTGTGTGTGTGTGTGTGTGTGTGTGTGTGTGTGTGTGTGTGTGTGTGTGTGTGAATACTGTTAAAGGTGCCTGGTGTGCATGTAAGCTTGTTGGAGCCTCAACAGGACCTGATCAACTCATTCCACCTGAAACACTGACAACAGTACATGGAAATCTTTCTAAACTCATTCTGTCTCACTCAGAGAGAAATCGTGCACAATATTTCAGACATATGTTTAGAATCAGCATCAAGAAACATGTGTCCTGTTCAGGTAAACAGTGACTCTGTCCAGGTAAACAGTGACCCAGCACCATGTGATCATGAGGATTCTCACCTGCTGAACTCTCTTCAGGTCCACTCACAGACTCTCTTCAGGTCCACTCACAGACTCTCTTCAGGTCTACTCACAGACTCTCTTCAGGTCTACTCACAGACTCTCTTCAGGTCTACTCACAGATTAGGTCCTACTCACAGACTCTCTTCAGGTCTACTCACAGACTCTCTTCAGGTCCACTCACAGACTCTCTTCAGGTCTACTCAACAGACTCTCTTCAGGTCTACTCACAGACTCTCTTCAGGTCTACTCACAGACTCTCTTCAGGTCTACTCACAGACTCTCTTCAGTCTACTCCCAGACTCTCTTCAGGTCCACTCACAGACTCTCTTCAGGTCTACTCACAGACTGTCTTCAGGTCTACTCACAGACTCTCTTCAGGTCTACTCACAGACTCTCTTCAGGTCTACTCACAGACTGTCTTCAGGTCTACTCACAGACTCTCTTCAGGTCTACTCACAGACTCTCTTCAGGTCCACTCACAGACTCTCTTCAGGTCTACTCACAGACTCTCTTCAGGTCTACTCACAGACTCTCTTCAGGTCTACTCACAGACTCTCTTCAGGTCTACTCACAGACTGTCTTCAGGTCCACTCACAGACTCTCTTCAGGTCTACTCACAGACTCTCTTCAGGTCTACTCACAGACTCTCTTCAGGTCTACTCACAGACTGTCTTCAGGTCTACTCACAGACTCTCTTCAGGTCTACTCACAGACTCTCTTCAGGTCTACTCACAGACTCTCTTCAGGTCTACTCACAGACTGTCTTCAGGTCTACTCACAGACTCTCTTCAGGTCTACTCACAGACTCTCTTCAGGTCCACTCACAGACTCTCTTCAGGTCTACTCACAGACTCTCTTCAGGTCCACTCACAGACTCTCTTCAGGTCTACTCACAGACTGTCTTCAGGTCTACTCACAGACTCTCTTCAGGTCTACTCACAGACTGTCTTCAGGTCTACTCACAGACTCTCTTCAGGTCTACTCACAGACTGTCTTCAGGTCTACTCACAGACTCTCTTCAGGTCCACTCACAGACTCTCTTCAGGTCCACTCACAGAAACTGAGCTCATCTCTTCCTCTTCAGTCCTGAGTCTGCCTGCATCTGATCTGAACACGCCTTCACACCCTCAGAAATCCTGAGAGTAAAATCACGTCAGAGTCACGTGGAAACCGGCCTTACAGGATGTAGCTGTCAGCCTGCCAGACTCTCCCTCACCTGCCTGAGCTGTTTAACACAGACAGTTTTTGATCCAGCGTTGCTCCCACTGCTTCATGGCACTCGTCTTGTTCGGAGAGCGGAGCATCGTCACACAGCCGCACCTGCACACACAGCCGCACCTGCACACACAGCCGCACCTGCACACACAGCCGCACCTGCACACACAGCCGCACCTGCACACACACACACACACACACACACACACACACACACACACACACACACACACACACACACACACACACACACACCACACACACACACACACACACACACACACACACACACACACACACACACATATACACACACACACACACACACACACACACACAGTTAACATGTATTTCCTGCACAGGTGAGTGTGCTGTGACATCACTTCCTGTTGACTCACCTGGTGCAGGCTTTGCTCTCCTCAGTGGGACAGACGCAGTGGCGAGCCGTCAGGGCCCTCTAAGATATTCTACAAAATAATATTTTAAAACATTAAAAAAATATTTTATTTTTTTAATATATATCTTTTCAATATATTCATAGTTATATTTTTCATTAGTTTTCATTTCATTAGAGGGCCCAGCTATAGTAACTGAACGAAAGAGTAATGTCAAATGACAGTACAATTGACCAATCATATCTTCCCTCTAAATGGGTGGGTTTTATTATCGCAGACTTTATGACAAGTTCCGCCCGCTGTGAAGCTTTTCTTGTTTCCATAGCAACAACAACTTCCTGTCAACAGCGTAAACTCGTCCTCAAAATAAAAGCATGCCAAATTACACTTAAAGGTCCCATGTCATGCTTTTCCGGTTATTACCCGTCAAATACCCTCCCTGTAGGGAGTAAAACTCTAACACAGAAAAGACCTCCCCAAAACGCCTCGTTGGAGATTTCTCATGTTCTTCCTGGGCATCGTGACGTCTGGATACCCAGTAGCCACGCCCAGAGCTATGACGCGATACAGTCATGCGGTACCCGGAACCAAATGGACCAATCCGTGGAGCCGTTACGTTACGTCCGCAGAGCCGTTACGTTAAGCCCCCGCTGATTGGTCCAAATTGACCAATCCACGGACTTCCTCACACACACACACACACACACACACACACACACACACACACACACACACACACACACACACACAGTGCAGGCAGCTCTGCTGATTTCTCCTCCCTGGCTGCAGGCTGATAACAGACAGTTGGGATCGCGGCGAAATTCTCTCTGCAGACCCATTCTCTCTGCAGACCCATTCTCTCTGCAGACCCATTCTCTCTGCAGACCCATTCTCACAGCGTTTATCAACCTTTGTCTTACTCAATATCAAGCCAAACTTATTGTTTTTACTTCGGATGTGACTTTGTGTGTGCTCAGGATGAGTTTGGCTGTGTTTCGCTAAACAAGGAAACAACACCTCCACGGAGCTCAGCGCGATTCACAACGTCCCGACCAATCAGAGCACACTGTGCTCACAGGGAGGGTGGGGGCTGGAGCTATTGGAGCTACAACGAGCCGTTAAAGGCAGAGAGTGAAATTCAGTGAATACACGTAGTTTACAGAGATGCTGTTTGAGAAACCAATGTGAGTTTGGAGAGATGCTGTTTGAGAAACCAATGTGAGTTTGGAGAGATGCTGTTTGAGAAACCAATGTGAGTTTGGAGAGATGCTGTATGAGAAACCAATGTGAGTTTGGAGAGATGCTGTTTGAGAAACCAATGTGAGTTTGGAAAAATGCACAATATACATCTATTCTAGTAGACCTCAACAATGGAATTATGATCAGTGGAAATGGCCATGACATGGGACCTTTAAGACATACAACTGCAACGAAAGTCACAAACACAATGCAATATCCTTTTCAATTTCAAAGAACACAAATTGGGTTATTTACAGGTGTTGTTTTGTGTGGTCGCTTTCATTGATGCGTTTTGCACCCCGGGCCGTTGTTTTGATATTCCGCTGAAGTATACGCTGTGACGTAATAACTCTTATTTATTTTAAGGGGTGGGGGTCAGAGGGCCTAGGTGTAAATAGGCTTGTTTGAGATGAGCGAGACCGACGCAGACCTGCGCAATTGCGATCGCCGTCTTGCTAGTGCGTTGCATGATGGTTAGTCATTTTGTCCGACTTGCTCTGGAGGCTCGACTGCATGAGACGTTGAAATCTCGCAGGACAAAGATGCCGGCAGCCTTGAGAGCGAGGCGGCGCAGTTTCTCTCCACGGGCTGCGGAAGCGAAATGCTTGATGGGAAACGACTCGCTGGTATCTCGAGCTGAGCGCTCATTGGTGGTTTTTACCCCGTGCTGGTGATGAAACTCTCCAATTGGCTCCGCAAAAGTTTGTTGTTGTTTTGTGTCAGTTTCACGTCGCCACTTCCATTCACAGTTTTCATCATTGTTTCCACAATGTTTATCATCATGAAATTAATATCTATATATTTTATACTATACTTGCACTGCTTATCGTTTTCATACTTTATGTATCTTAGCATATTCATACCAACCCACTCTCTTCAGTCTGCGTACAAATGACACGACTTTACACATTGGAAATGCGTGCAATAGATACGCAGAAGTCAGATTTTGCGTGCATATGATACGCTAACCATTCCCATTGAGATCTGAGGCCGAGTTTTGCGTGCATATGACACACCACGTTTCGTGCCTGTACCACTTATTTTTGTCCGGTCGGCTCTTGGTAGACCGGAAGCTGTGTGGTTCATAAAAACATGTTCTTACTCAATACCAAGCCACGATTATTGTTTTTATTTTAAATCCTATAATGTCGGACTTTTTTTGCCGTCTGTGAAGAAAAGAAATGGCTCAGAGCCTCAGAATAATGAAATCTGTATTTGTTTTAATCTTTTTTGCCTCCTAATGTGTTATTCTTTTCTAAATCACACACTGTTATTTCCTCAACAATAACACACAATTATCCTTGTTTTTATTTATTCGTTTAATTCTATAATCTTAGGCTTTTTAGCTGTAAATAAAGTCACCAGAAACAGAGGTAGGCCTTTAAGGGACATTTCCAGCATCATTGCGATACACACAACCCACTGAACTGATTACCCAAGATCCTCAGCTTGAAGCTCGGTGATTGGATGTTTTAGCCGCAATGCATGTTGGGATATGGTGTAAACTAAAGATGATATACTGTCCTTCCTCTAGCTGCTAGGACATATATATTAATACAAAGGACTAAAGATGATATGCTGTCCTTACTCTAGCTGCTAGGACATATATATTAATACAAAGGACTAAAGATGATATACTGTCCTTACTCTAGCTGCTAGGACATATATATGAATACAAAGGACTAAAGATGAGGGCCCTTCTCACTAAACTATATTTGAGTTGGTTTCCCTGGAATATCTTTAATAATTTTCTACAAATCTGACAATTTCTATAACATCTGGCAGCCTTACCTACATTCACTCAGGTTAAATGAACCTCCTGAAATCATAAGAAATCACAATCATAACATGCATTCTCCTGTACCCTCCTATAAATGTGTACTTTCTGCTTTTTAAGGTCTTTATTTTCTATTAAAAGACGTGTATATTCTTTATTTTCTAAGATAAGATAGATTCTGCGTTGCAGCAGCATACAGAGACATGGCATTGTTCAATACAAATCAAAAGAGTATAATAAACAATCCAAAATGTAAATATCTCAATAGAAATACAATAGCATTAAAAAAACAGAAGTAGAAAATATACATGTTGAATTACAAATGTACAGTAACAAAATATAAAGCAGGATATGATATATACATAAGTATGAGAGGAATGGAATATTAAATATTCATCTTTTTAATCTCCAATGAAGTGCAAGGCGGTGTTTTACATGCTACGTTGCATGGTTGTTATTAATGTATGAAGCCATTTTAGGTAAGCTTCCACTCTATATATGTGACAGATTGGCTCCAGTTTGTGACTCTTACGACCTCAGACCCAGTGCCTGATACGGGTCCAGGTTCCTGCCGTGCGGACTGAGGCTGGAAAAAGGAGTCTTTTTCATTATGGTCCTTGGTCTTGGAATGACCTTCAGTCACGCCTCAAACTGAGGGCACTTGTCTCTATATCATGTTTTAAATTGAAGTTGTCTGAAGTCCTCACCACCAGCTGCTCTTGCAGTAATAAGTATTGTACCTTTCTTACTGTCCAAATGTGCTCAATGTAGTGACTGCTTTTCCTCTTTTTGTTTACTTAGTTGTGTTCTCTGTATTTTACATGTTTGTGTTATGTGTAACGTTGCTGCCTTCTTGGCAGGTCAGCATTGCAAATGAGATTTTATCTCTGTAACTATCTCCAGGAGATGTTGGTGAGGTGAGATGATGGTCTGCTTTTGAAAGATACTCTTTAATGCAAAAGAGACTAATTACACAAAATATTCCTTCAAAGTTGGTCTTCACTTTTAGATCCTCTTGGACTTTTGGAACATGCCTTTATTCTTCTTTGTCATCTCCTCACATCCTTAGTGAGGCAATATTTCAAAAGTGTATAATGTGTTTGAGTGTTTATTGCTCCAGTCCTGCCAGCTGCCTCTGTTTCATACATTCAATTTAAACTTTATTCTTCTCTTTCTCTTAACAGAGTGATTTCTTGTTCATAGGTGATTGGTAAATGCTGATGTTCCTGTACATTAAAAGACCTTCACATAAGATATGTAGAGTACCTGAGAATGCAGCAGCTGTTACACCTGTGCTGTTCCAATACTTATCTGATACACAGACGGAAAGATACATGGAAACATGTCGCAATAGTTTGAATGAACCCAAACAAGCAGGTGAAAAACTCTCTACAACAAAAAGTATGTATGTACTGTTTTTAGACAATTATTTCAGTATTAAATTGTATTTGCAAAATCAAAATGTAATGTAATCAAGACCTCATCACACCTCCTCCCCATCCACCTCCTTTCATCACATCCAGTGCCAGGAGAGCTAACGTATGACGTCATATCTGAAATGTGGACCCACGGCCCAATCAGAAAGTTGCTATCAGAAACAATGCCCGACTGTTTTGGACGTAATATGGTCGGTGTTTACATTAGCATCGCTAACACTCAGAGCTAACCTGTACTGGAGAGCATGTGTGTGAAGAAGCAGGAAATCAAAAGGAACTCACCTTGTGGTATAACCGGCAAGAGAGAAAGCCTTTGAGCTCCATACTGTTTCAGAAACAATGCTTGATAATTCATGATATGGCGTTTCATCACGGCAGTATTTAGTTTAGACAGTAGCTGCCGGGTCCCGCATGAGCTCAGACCCCTCCTTTTTATTTTTTATCAAAACATTTTCTTTTTTAAAGCTTTATACCCCGAATCAGCACTTTAGAAACAGGAAGTGAAACAGAGGGATATGAGGCATGGCTAGAATGGGTGATCTGTTTGGTATTTTGAGCAAAACACTTCATAGACATGTTTTTTATATATTTGTATATATCTGAGACCGATGCTATTGCCTAAAAATAGCATGATGGGAGACCTTTAAGATAAGAAAGGTTTACCATCAGGATATCAAACATTATTCACAACTGTAAATGTATTATCTCTGCCCGGGTGTTGTAGCTGGGTATTTGTTGTTGTCAGTCCCCTCAGGAGTGAAAGCTTCATGCTGTCTCCGTCCATATAGTCAGGTGATTCATCTAAAACTAGATGCATTCAAAACATGTGATAATAACATTCAGATCAGAATCAGAATCCCTTTATTAGTCCCACAGAGGGGACATGTACATTGTTACAGCAGAAAAGAGCCAAAGACAGATTAATGTTAACTAAAGCATACACATTTATTAAAGATTAAAAAAAAGAAATTATAATATAAAAAGTCACGCAGCCTGTCAGACACTGAAAAACGCCATCATGTGCTTCTTGGTGTTGAATATCTTTCTACTCCATGGAAATGTTACTCAATGAAGCTCAGCGCAAGTTCCTTCAGGAAGACTGTGTATATATACATTCACTCTGCAGCTGCTTATAATCAGCTCATCACAGGCGTTCTCTTTAACCTATTACATTTCACCTCATTCTCCAGCAGCCAATCAGCGTGCTGCAGCCAAACTTTAAAATGGTTCTCCTCTCTCCTGCAGTCAGCTGTGATTTCAGGTGTTCATGCTGCCGCCCGCCTCCTCCCCATCCACCTCCTCCCCATCCGCCTCCTCCCCATCCACCTCCTTTCATCACATCCAGTGCCAGGAGAGCTAATCCAAAGACATCATCACACCTCCTCTTCATCCCATCTCCTGATCAAATCCAGATCTTCATCATCATCACCAGTGTCTAGACCCCGGGGGGTTCCCTATATGCTCACGGCTGCATTTCCCCCTTTAGATATACCATTTCAGGATCGGGGTCTAATCGCCAAAGACTTAACATTTATTATATGGCATGTGTCAATAAATGTTCTTTAAACAAAATGAAGTCTCTCCTGATTGAACTGCAGTTAGACTCGGTTTATGAAGAAAACGTGTTAGAGCTATTACTGAGTGTAAGGTATTACCGGGAACATGAGTGAAAAATAGTCACGTGTGATTAATGCAGTCGGGGTGATTAACGCAAAATGTCATCATTTAAAACTGTTCTTCGTGTTCTCCGTAGACGCTCTTCTGACTGTTTCCAAAGACTTGAGGGACAGAAATGTCAGGAAACGAACCAGATGCAGGATGACGGGTCTGAATGCGCTGCCTGATGGTTAACAATATCCCCTCATGGAGCTGGAAGATAAACAGGGAAATACTCTAGTTATATAACCAACAATCACTTTGAACAGAGATCTCTTAAAACATGACTAATAAGTTAGACACAAGTTCAATGTGATGTTCACAGAGATATTTATATTCCTCAGCTTTCCCAGCGGTGGGTTTATTTATTTAAAATATATCATTTGTAACATTTCCTTATTCAAATGTCAAAAAGCGATTACCCTATGGTGTTTATACATTCTTTTTGAGTAGTGTACATCCAATACCTGTTCTTTCACACAAGTGAAAAGCTAGCATCAGGCTATAGAGGAACTCCATCACAGTCACATGACTTAACATCACAGCCAATGAGGAGATGAGTTTCTCCGTGATCAGCGTGACGACGTTATTATGAGTTTAGCCACTCGTTAGAACCGCCTGTTTAAAGACACTCTTTGAGCTTTATATTATTTAATAGTTAAACATTTATTATGTTAGACATAAACGGGAGGCACAGATTTCATCAAGTGATACATACATATATTACCTATGATTTGATTGCATGTACGATAGTTTGGATATATTTGGAGAATATGAGTTCAATACTCACATTTCTTCTGGATCTTGGCTCTGATCGTCTCTCCTCCTCTGATCCTGTAGGGATGAACACAATCCAACAGTTTTAGATCAAGTTAAAATAAGTGTTTGTTCTTTGAGTCAGCTTCAGAGTCCTGATCCAATGCTTCACATCCCATCATATCCTCTCTGCAAACACTACGACTGACTGCCACAGCTCTCAGCTGCATTACAGAGTTAACTAGGCATTAGTCCAGGAACAAAACAACTTCATAGAAAAAACAAACAGACTCACTTTTTAACTGTAAAATGTGTCTGTTAACAAGTTGCTCCTGACTGAAATGCGGCTTTGCATTGTCAGCTTGCATTATATTGTTCTTGGGAGAACGCAAGAAAAGAAACATGAGATGAACAAAAGGAGAAACTGCAGATAAATGGTAACATCACTGATGTGTTGTGCTAAGCTAGGCTACGCCTGGAAGGTGGAAATGGAGAGATTCCCCAGTGAGAGGAACACATCCACCTCCCTGTGTTCAATACAATCCTGCTGAACCAGCAGAGACTGAGTCGACCCCTTACTGACCTGAGAGTCTCCAGTCTGCAGTCTGGCCTCTCCAGAAGATCTCTCAGCAGCTCCACTCCTGAATCCTTCAGATCGTTCTCACTCAGGTCCAGATCTCTCAGATGGATGTTGGACTTCAGAGCTGAGATCAGAGCAGAACAGCTGATCTCTGACAAGCTGCAGCTCTGCAGACTGAATAAAGAACACATGATGTAAGTTTAGAAAACAATGTTCCTGATTGAAATAATGAAAGGTTTAATAATCTGATTATAGCTGGAGAAGTAGAGAATGTAGACGTTTATAAAGTGGACACTCCCGACAGGTTAAAAACAGTAAGATCCAAAAAGTGAAAAGAGCTCTCATTAATATGAAAGACAACGTTCTTCACCTTCAATAAAAAGTGGTGACTTCACATCATAAACTCTGCTCCTTCTACACTAACTCGTGATGTGCAGCCAGACAAATCAAAACCCACAGAAACTGATTCAACTCAAGATCACAGAGTTTACAAAGAAGTCAGGATGAATTTAGAAGAAATGTGATCAAAATAAATAGAGAATATTTATTTTAGGAATAGTGGAGACATAGATCACAGCATCTTCAGTTTAAACTATTCAGTCAGTTTGAGCATCATGCAGCTTCAGACACATGTTAGAAACAGCAACAACTGAACATATTTGTTAGTGTTTGATAGTTTTAATAGAAATATGTAATTATTGTATTCATGTGTTTATAATGTCATTTATTTTAAAACATGACGGAGAATAAAAGATGAATTCCAGGTTTTTAAAGGATCAGAGTGAATTATGCAGAGTATGATTTTTCTTTAACATAGCTCTGCTACAGTCAATGAGCTAAACCACAGAAGAAGAAAGTAGACTTTAGCATTAAGATGCTCAGTGAGGATCAGGATCATATCAGCCTGATGTCTGCAGCTCAGAGTCAACACAACTCTCACATATTCATCTCAGCACAGAAGATAGAGATGGAGAACTGACCTGAGAGTCTCCAGTCTGCAGTCTGGCCTCTCCAGAAGATCTCTCAGCAGCTCCACTCCTGAATCCTTCAGATCGTTGTGACTCAGGTTCAGATCTCTCAGATGGATGTTGGACTTCAGAGCTGAGATCAGAGCAGAACAGCTGATCTCTGACAAGCTGCACCTCTGCAGACTGAATAAAGAACACATGATGTAAGTTTAGAAAACAATGTTCCTGATTGAAATAATGAAAGGTTTAATAATCTGATTATAGCTGGAGAAGTAGAGAATGTAGACGTTTATAAAGTGGACACTCCCGACAGGTTAAAAACAGTAAGATCCAAAAAGTGAAAAGAGCTCTCATTAACATGAAAGACAACGTTCTTCACCTTCAATAAAAAGTGGTGACTTCACATCATAAACTCTGCTCCTTCTACACTAACTCGTGATGTGCAGCCAGACAAATCAAAACCCACAGAAACTGATTCAACTCAAGATCACAGAGTTTACAAAGAAGTCAGGATGAATTTAGAAGAAATGTGATCAAAATAAATAGAGAATATTTATTTTAGGAATAGTGGAGACATAGATCACAGCATCTTCAGTTTAAACTATTCAGTCAGTTTGAGCATCATGCAGCTTCAGAAACATGTTAGAAACAGCAACAACTGAACATATTTGTTAGTGTTTGATAGTTTTAATAGAAATATGTAATTATTGTATTCATGTGTTTATAATGTCATTTATTTAAAAACATGATGGAGAATATAAGATGAATTCCAGGTGTTTAAAGGATCAGAGTGAATTATGCAGATTAGGATGTGTCTGTTAACCTGTTCCACTCTGAGCCTGTTTTTCAGGTCTCAGGCTCGAAAATGACATTCCCAGAACAAATGACCATATCTTCCCTTCTAAAAGGGTTAAATTAATAATCTTTTCTCAAAGTAATGATAAACCTGTGAGTTGGATGTAGAAGTGTCAGAATCAATATAAATGTTTTTTATTTTAAAGAAAATTCAGATTTTACATAGTAAAAAACTGTAAATTATAGTGTCCGTCCAAAAATTATTTTTTACAGATAGTGAAAACTACCCTTGGATGATGGGTTAGTAGACTAAAAGCTTTAGGAATCCAAAGTACAACATATAATAAGTACCCTGTATCAAGATTGATGCAAAACAAGTGAAATTTGACCTTTTTAGAGAGATTTAGCCAAAAACTGGGCCATCTGGGGTCATTTGGGTGGATTTGACCTATCTCTGGCCCCCTTGCTCGATCTGGTTGGTTGACATACCCTTGTGACCGTTAGAGCCAATAGAATCGAAGGAGGAGACTTACATAGACACACATTGTAAAGAAAAAATGTTGCCGCTTCGCGTGTGGAAAGCGAAACTAAACTGGAGGAATGTCTCCTTCTGGAGTTTGGAAACTAAAACGCAGTTGTATTGCTTATGGATTATCAGAAATAATTTCAAAGAAGGCACAGACACATAGGATGAACCTATGGATTAACTGCAGCATCGTTTTTTTATCGTTTTAATGCCATTGAAGACCACTTTTGACCAAGGTAAGTCATATTTACATGTTTAGCTTCTTGGCTCCACATGTGATGATGTACGCTTTCGTTGATAGCGTCGCGAATGTTTATCACTGAGTGTTGAGGTGGGCACCGTTAGATTCAGTGTCTCCAGGACACCAAAAAATAGTGTTTGGTTGTGCATCTAGGATAAGTAATAAGGGAGTTCTGAGTGAGTTTATGTGCCTTTGTCGGTCCCGTTTTTTCGATCGAGGCTAATTCAGAGGCTGAGTGCTAGCATTGTGGGTTTTTTTTGAAAAAAAAAAATTAAAAAGATCAGTTAGCTGAGTTTCTTCCCGTTACATGGATATAACACATTCATAGTTTTATTCAATATTAAGATTCCTTAGACGTTGTTTCCTGCAAATGACGCGTTTATCCGCCCGGTACCGGGGGGAAGGCGTGAAACAGGTTAACAAGTTGCTCCTGACTGAATGTGGCTTTGCATTGTCAGCTTGCATTATATTGTTCTTGGGAGAACGCAAGAAAAGAAACATGAGATGAACAAAAGGAGAAACTGCAGATAAATGGTAACATCACTGATGTGTTGTGCTAAGCTAGGCTACGCCTGGAAGGTGGAACTGGAGAGATTCCCCAGTGAGAGGAACACATCCACCTCCCTGTGTTCAATACAATCCTGCTGAACCAGCAGAGACTGAGTCGACCCCTTACTGACCTGAGAGTCTCCAGTCTGCAGTCTGGCCTCTCCAGAAGATCTCTCAGCTCCACTCCTGAATCCTTCAGAGCGTTGAGATTCAGGTCCAGATCTCTCAGATGGATGTTGGACTTCAGAGCTGAGATCAGAGCAGAACAGCTGATCTCTGACAAACTGCAGTTAAACAGACTGAATAAAGAACACATGATGTAAGTTTAGAAAACAATGTTCCTGATTGAAATAATGAAAGGTTTAATAATCTGATTATAGCTGGAGAAGTAGAGAATGTAGACGTTTATAAAGTGGACACTCCCGACAGGTTAAAAACAGTAAGATCCAAAAAGTGAAAAGAGCTCTCATTAATATGAAAGACAACGTTCTTCACCTTCAATAAAAAGTGGTGACTTCACATCATAAACTCTGCTCCTTCTACACTAACTCGTGATGTGCAGCCAGACAAATCAAAACCCACAGAAACTGATTCAACTCAAGATCACAGAGTTTACAAAGAAGTCAGGATGAATTTAGAAGAAATGTGATCAAAATAAATAGAGAATATTTATTTCAGGAATAGTGGAGACATAGATCACAGCATCTTCAGTTTAAACTATTCAGTCAGTTTGAGCATCACGCAGCTTCAGACACATGTTAGAAACAGCAACAACTGAACATATTTGTTAGTGTTTGATAGTTTTAATAGAAATATGTAATTATTGTATTCATGTGTTTATAATGTCATTTATTTTAAAACATGACGGAGAATAAAAGATGAATTCCAGGTTTTTAAAGGATCAGAGTGAATTATGCAGAGTATGATTTTTCTTTAACATAGCTCTGCTACAGTCAATGAACTAAACCACAGAAGAAGAAAGTAGACTTTAGCATTAAGATGCTCAGTGAAGATCAGGATCATATCAGCCTGATGTCTGCAGCTCAGAGTCAACACAACTCTCACATATTCATCTCAGCACAGAAGATAGAGATGGAGAACTGACCTGAGAGTCTCCAGTCTGCAGTCTGGCCTCTCCAGAAGATCTCTCAGCAGCTCCACTCCTGAATCCTGAAGAGCGTTGTGACTCAGGTTCAGATCTCTCAGATGGATGTTAGACTTCAGAGCTGAGATCAGAGCAGAACAGCTGATCTCTGACAACCTGCACCACCTCAGACTGAATAAAGAACACATGATGTAAGTTTAGAAAACAATGTTCCTGATTGAAATAATGAAAGGTTTAATAATCTGATTATAGCTGGAGAAGTAGAGAATGTAGACGTTTATAAAGTGGACACTCCCGACAGGTTAAAAACAGTAAGATCCAAAAAGTGAAAAGAGCTCTCATTAATATGAAAGACAACGTTCTTCACCTTCAATAAAAAGTGGTGACTTCACATCATAAACTCTGCTCCTTCTACACTAACTCGTGATGTGCAGCCAGACAAATCAAAACCCACAGAAACTGATTCAACTCAAGATCACAGAGTTTACAAAGAAGCAGCACCAGAGTCTGAATAAAGAACACATCATGTAAGTTCAGAGAACAATGGTCCTGCTTGAGATAGTTCAAAGTCTCATCATCTTTTCAGACCTGGAGAGGGTTCAGATGCCAATGTCAAAAATGATGAAGATACTTTTAGAAATGTAATAGTAGATAACTATAAATGCATTGATAATGCATCAGAAGAACCTCCTTCATCTCCCTCACAGCTCATCAGTACTGACAGCATCTTCACTGACTCATGGAGCACAGTGAGAGTCTGTGGAAGCTCACACACTGTCCCCTCACACATTTACTTTCTCTGCTTTCTGTTATTCTTGTCAAATATTCAGCAATTTAGAAAGAAATGTGAACTTATTCAAATATCTTTGTACTCAGGCAAATGATGGAATTATAAATATATCAATTATAAATACAGTACAAAACCACATGAACTACAGCCAGTGATCTGACCTCAGAGTCTTCAGTCTACAGTTTGGACTCTTTAGTCCAGAACTCAGCTGCTCCACCTCTGAATCCTGCAGGTCTACATTCACCTCCAGCTCTCTCAGATCGGAGGGGTCGGACTTCAGAGCTGAGGCCACGACTTCCCAGTCTAAGAATCCACTGGCAGGAATTCTGTTAGAACACATATTACAGAATTTGTTTATATAACAAAAAGGGGAAACAACATATTTACTTCATGCATTTGAGGAAAAACATTTTGAATCTCATGATCTGATTACCACTGGATGTTAGTCTATTTAATATTTGGTAGAGTGTGATCTGATCCCATGTCTGTCACCTCTCTGCTAGCTACCTTCTAGACTAGAGAAGACTAGAGTCAACATAAATCACATATTGCTCTGTGTCTAATTTAACGATAAAGAAACTGCAATCATTTCATAATAACTTTACTGCATTCAATGACATATGTAAAGTTATTCTGTATGTTCTGATCACATGTTGCTGTGATAAAACATCCTTCATATTATTTTGACAAGGAAAATGAAGAGAAGAAAAAACTGTACAATCTTTTAATTATTAGAATAATTGTATTAATTCAATTTAGCTCTCTCAGTATGTGAAACAGCAACAAGTTGTATAGTGTTTATTTTAAAAACTAAAATCCTTTTCTACACTAATCTATAAAGTGAATCACATCTGGACTCACACAGCCTTCCTGCAGTTCCTCACAGCTGGAATCAGTCTCCGTCGTCCCTCCTCTGATGTTTTGGACTTCTCCAGGTCCAACTCATCCAGAACCTCCTCTGACATCTCCAGCCTGTAGGCCAGAGCAGAGCAGTGGATCACAGAGAGTTTCTTCTCTGATCTGTTCTCTGACTTCAGGAACTCTGTGATCTCCTGATGTACTGAGTGGTCCTTCATCTCTGTCAGACAGTGGAAGATGTTGATGCTCCTTTCAGGAGAGACTTCATCACTTCTCATCTTATTCAGGTTGCTGATGGCTCTCTGGATGATTTCTGGTCTGTTGTCTGTGCGACCCAGCAGGCCTCCTAAGAGTCTCTGGTTGGACTCCAAAGAGAGGCCGTGGAGAAAGCGGACAAACAGGTCCAGGTGGCCATTTTCACTTTTGAGTGATTTCATCATGGCACTCTTTAGGAAGACATCCAGGGATGGGTAATCCTGATCACTGCTATCACTGTTGTCATCGTCCAAGTCTCTCTGCAGGAAGTCTTTCAGTACTGCTGTGTCTCTGTTGGTGTAACAGTGCAACATGTAGACTGCAGCCAGAAACTCCTGAATGCTCAGATGAACAAAGCAGTAGACTGTTTTCTTGAATATCACACTCTCTCTTTTGAAGATCTCTGTACAAACTCCTGAGTGCACCAAGGCCTCGGTGACATCAAGGCCACAGCGCTGCAGGTCTTCTTGGTAGAACATGATGTTTCCTTTCTCCAGATGTTCAAACGCCAGCCTCCCCAGCTTCAGAAGAAGCTCACTGTCAGCCTCCGACAGCTGCTGTGGACTCTTCTTCTTCTTCTTCTTCTTCTTCTTCTTCTTCTTCTTCTTCTTCAGCTGCTGTGGACTCGTCTCATGTCCCTCTTCATACTTCTGCTTCTTCCTCTTGGTCTGGACCAGCAGGAAGTGTGAGTACATGTCAGTGAGGGTCTTGGGCAGCTCTCCTCTCTGGTCTGTTGTCCACATGTGGTCCAGAACTGCAGCAGTGATCCAGCAGAAGACTGGGATCATGCACATGATGTGGAGGCTCCTGGAGCTCTTGATGTGAGAGATGATTCTGCTGGACAGGTCTTCATCACTCGATCTCCTCCTGAAGTACTCCTCCTTCTGGGCGTCAGTGAAGCCTCGTACTTCTGTTACCCTGTCCACACACTCAGGAGGGATCTGATTGGCCGCTGCAGGTCTGGAAGTTATCCAGACGAGAGCCGAGGGAAGCAGCTTCCCCCTGATGAGGTTTGTCAGCAGCACGTTGACTGAGGACTGCTGAGAGACATCAGACACAACCTCATTGTTTCTGAAGTCCAGAGAAAGTCTGCTTTCATCCAGGCCGTCAAAGATGAGCAGCACTTTGCAGACAGCCAGCTGCTCTGCTGTGACCTTCTGTAAGGTTGGATGGAAAACATGGAGCAGCCTGAGAAGACTGTACTGCTCACCTTTGATCAGGTTCAGCTCCCTGAAGGAGAGCGGGATCACCAGACTGACATTTTGGTTTCCCAAACCCTCGGCCCAGTCCAGAGTGAACTTCTGCACTGAGAAGGTTTTTCCAACTCCAGCGACTCCGTTGGTCAGGACCGCTCTGATGAGAGTCTGTTGGTCAGGTGAGGCTTTAAAGATGTCCTGGCACTTGATTGGAGAGTAATGGAGGGTCTCTTTCTTGGAAGCTGTCTCCAGCTGCCACACCTCATGTTGGGTATTAACCTCTTCACTGAGGCCTTGTGTGATGTAGAGCTCAGTGAAGATCCTTTTGAGGAGGGTTTCACTTTCACCAGTTCCTTCAGTCACACGTTCACATCTCCTCCTCAGACTGAGCCTATGTTCATCTAAAACCTCCTGCAGACCACGTTCTGCTGAAAGAGAAGGAAACGTGAGAATAAAAAAAACGTTTTAAATGAACTTATATTATGTACAACACAACAGGAAGAATCCTGTTTTCAGGCCTGAAGACACGAGGAGACAGCAGTGTTTCCCACAGAATTATACTTGTGGTGGTAGCCGGGCACGACGGACAGGGGGGGGGGGGGGGGTGTGTGCTAATGGAGCACGCTGGTGAACTGTTAGTTTGCCGGAGCGTCGCAGCGGGGTTACTGCAGAGCGCATAATTGCGGCGCATTTGCGCATGAGTGATGTGCAACAACATTTGACTTCTCTTTTTCTCGTAAGGTCTCCCTTTCTGTTGGTCGCTTATTAGCGGACCCTTCACGCGATGGCAGAGCGAACAGGTACAGGAGGCGTAGAGCGAGGGATCATTGTCCACTAGTTCATCGATCGCAGATGGCAGCGTGCTCGTGGACGGATACAAAAAACAAAACCTAAATAGGTCGTGAAATATACTTGGGCGGACGTTATTATTACATTACATTACATTTAGCTGACGCTTTTATCCAAAGCAACTTACAATAAGTGCATTCGACCAAGACGATACAAACTTGAAGAATCATTTAAGTACATCAGGTTTCATCAGTGTTGGGCAAGTTACTTTTAAAAAGTAACTAGTAATAGTTATAGTTACTGCTCTCAAAAAAGTAACTAGTTACTTTACTTTACTTTAAAAATAATAACAATAAAAATACAAGTTTTTGTGTTGTTCTGTGGCACAGTAAGACTAGTTTTATAGCCCCATGTACATTAGTTAGGTGCTTCAGGAGATTGGCATTGCTGTTATTCGACGTGGACAATGCTTTCTGTCCTGCACACAGTTTACATTTGACCGTAATATTTTTTGCGTCCTTTATCCCCACAAATTGAAAATAGTGGTTATATCTCCAAGTTGTAAATGCGCTGCTGCTCTCGCTGATACTTGCATCTGCCATTGTGTGTGTGTGTGCTGGTGGTGGGCGTTGCCGTGTATGTGTGTGTTAGCAAGTGTTTGTGTGTCTGTGTATTTTCCCCATAAGGCAAGACCCGCCCAACTCTGTCTCTGATTGGCTTACCCTGAAATGTTACCCCGCGTTAACCAATCATCACTCCTCTCTGGTCACTTTCACTTGTCCATGGTACTGTGAGAGGACATCACTGTATTCGCCTGTTACATCCGCAGGGAGATTCGGTTCAGTTGGACCACATAATGTAACGCAGTAACGCACCCATTTAAATCACAGTAACTATAACGGCGTTACTGAATGGGAATAGGTAACTAGTAACGTTATTAGTTACCAGAGGTGGGGACTCGAGTCACATGACTTGACTCGAGTCAGACTCGAGTCGCATATTTTTTGACTTGAGACTTGCTTGACTAACATTGATAAAAGACTTGACTTGACTTTGACTTGGTATTCATGACTTGAGACTTGACTTAAGCTTGAGACAGATGACTTGAAAGGACTTGACTGTTTAAAATTAAATATTTGCGTTTGTTTTTGTAGTGAGATATTACGTTTAGTTTTTTCGAAAAATGTGATTGGGTGATTATAGCACCATGCGCGCAAACCTGGCAACCCACTAGACGGCAGGAGTGTCAGTTAACATGGCAGCGGCTAGCGTTACTCCAAAAATAGTGAAGTTTGGATTCAAGGATTATGTTGTCGATGACGCTAATAAGAAGAGAACAGCGGTATGCAGGGTCTGCAGCATAAAGATCAGTGACACGACCACCACAACATCCAACTTCATTCGTCACTACAAAAAAAACCCACAGAGAAAGGTGCGTGAATGTGTTGTGTTAGCTAGAAAGCTAACGTTAAGTTTAAGCTACGTTAGACTTGGTTTCAAATCGATTAAGCAAAGAGAAGACAAAACGGTAAATGAACACTAGAACCTCCAAGGGATTCATTTTGACTAACCCTGATACTGACGGGCTGTCAGGAGCGGGAGAGAGAGAGAGAGGGAAAGAGATGCCTCGTTTATTTCCCCTGTGTTATCAGAAGTTTCTGTAAACTGTTGAGTAATGTAGTTCATCTACTTTTAGTAGTTTGTTTAAATGTTTTAATTATGTTGTTTTTGTTTGTAGAAGTGCATCATTCCTTGATTTATTGTAAAATGAATCTGAACTTTTTGATCTGTTATGATGATAAACTGAAGCAATTTCTAAATTAACCCAATTAACTGAGTTTTAAATCGTAGCTATATTGTCTGCAGTTCTAGGGTTAATATGAATCTAATATGATTGTCATCGGTCTAAATTAGATTTCAATTGATTAACTGTGTATGTAATGAAGATCATAGTGTGGGTTGAATCCATTTTCATAACCACTGTCTTTTAACTCATTTAAATGCGGAAACTGGGCTTACTCATCAGAATTTCGTATGACTTGACTTGACTTGACTTGACCTGAGCAATGACTTGACTTGACTTGCTTGACTCTCACCACAGTGACTTGGGACTTGCTTGATACTTGTAGGTCAAGATTTGAGACTTGCTCATGACTTGCACATGTAGGACTTACTCCCACCTCTGTTAGTTACCGCAAAAGGTAGTTGCGTTACAGTAACGTGTTAGTTTGTAACACGTTAGTCCCAACACTGGGTTTCATAGAGCCAAACCATTTCAAGTGATGCTCAACAGGCTTTAGATAAGTGCTTTGTTAGTATCTAAGTGCTTTGTTAGTATATAAGTGCTTTGTTAGTATGTAAGTCCTTTGTTAGTATCTAAGTGCTTTGTTAGTATATAAGTGCTTTGTTAGTATATAAGTGCTTTGTTAGTATCTAAGTGCTTTGTTAGTATCTAAGTGCTTTGTTAGTATCTAAGTGCTTTGTTAGTATCTAAGTGCTTTGTTAGTATCTAAGTGCTTTGTTAGTATGGAAGTCCTTTGTTAGTATGTAAGTGCTTTGTTAGTATATAAGTGCTTTGTTAGTATGTAAGTGCTTTGTTAGTATGTAAGTGCTTTGTTAGTATGTACAGTGGCGGCTGGTGGAAAATATTTTAGGTGGGGCTGTGGAAATGGTGATCAAACAATACTAGGGGGGTCCTGGGGGATGCTCCCCCGGTAATTTTTTTTGAGAAAAGACCCCTTCAATTATGACTTCTGGTGATGTTAGAGGGGGGGGGGGGGGAGAAGGACAATTTGAGGCTTAAAAATATGAGAAGACTGATCAATACCTCCATAACTTCAGTGTGGTTAGAGCTATGAATCTTCCAAAACTTCCAAACACCTTGTCCTGGACATAGTTTCTACAGCATAAACTGTGCAACAGTACAGTAGGCCCACACAAACTGCAGAACACCGGGGCTTTGGGAACACTGATTTAATTCCCATTTAACCTGTTAAGGGGCTTTTTTCCCCCCGTTTTTTTCTCACGAAA